ATAAAGTGGTAATATGCAAATTAGCCAGGCATCACAACCGGCTCAGGAGGATGCTGCATCATGACCGCTCAGGAGGAGCTGCGTGTGCACATGGGCGGTAGGGTACTGCATGCCGCCCCCAGCCCCAGCAGACACACATCAGGGGTGGGGGCAGTGGCTAGAGCAAAGCAGCCCGAGTCCCGGGTTCCTGGCGGCAGCTGGAGCAAAGCAGCCCGGGTCCCGGGTGCCAGAGGGAAGCCGGTGCCGGCAGCCAGGGGAAGGAAAGCCTATTCTTGCACAAATCTTCATTCATTGGGCCTCTAGTAACAAATAATTCTTGAGTTTGGCTAGCTTTTATGGTTTAGTTTGCTTTACCATCAGGAAGTAAGAATGCTTTCCATTTTTTGACTATGTAGCTGATATTTGGAATCATAATCTATAGTAACATCATAATGCTAATTAGACTGGACGGCCAAACAGCAGGACGACCGTCTGGACAACCTTTCGGACGAAGCTGGGGCAGCCACCCGGGGCTGCAAGGGCCAAGCCCCTTGCATGAATTTTGTGCATCAGGCCTCTAGTTTTAGAGATAAGGAAATAATTAACTTACTTCAAAAAATTCCTTTTTACCACTCTAAATTTCAAACATTTTAAAGTTACCGCCTTTAAATTCTCTTTTGAGTGACTCTTAATTTTAGTAGCATAGGAAGTTATAGAAGAGAACAGTTTGCTCATTGATTTAATGTTATCCTTTCTGTGTTTTAAGGTAAAGCTTGATATTTAAAACTATACTATATTTGTCTTATTTTTTTCCTCAAGACATAATACAGTTTATGATATTCAGAATCTTCTGATATGGAAAGAACTTAGTTACTATTCAAATAGTGGTGCCTCGTCAGCTGTTTGTATTTAAGTTAGTTTGGTAGATTAAGTATGCTGCAAAACCTAAAACTACAGACTTATTTTCTCAATGTGCTTGTTTATTTTCTGGGAAATGAGAGAAAGGGCTATAAACACTTTTATGTATTTAGTAAGCACTCAGTAAGTGCTTTTACAATGAATAAATGAACTAGGGTTTTTTTGTGGGTTTTTTTTTAATGTCATTTTTATCCATTCTTAGGGTTTCCAGGAAAATCTGTTTCCTGTCTAAACTTTCATTGTAAACTCTGGACATACTGTTATCTACCAATTTGATTGGTTTTCCTCAATACAAAACAGAGCCAGGCCCATAAGACCTTCACTTTTTAGCCATAAATTTTTTTTAAGTCTTTGATCATTCCTTTAGTTATTTAAATAATAAGAAGGACTTATCTTCATGTGAATAGTTTTCTTTTTAGACATTATTTAAAATCTGATCTTTTGAAAGTTTCTTGAATATTTAGTATCAAGAAGTCTTCTCGTATTTACTGAAATCTTATAAAGAAAATGTTAATGATTGCTGTATGTTTTTTTTAATTAGATAGACAAAATGGAAATTTAAAAACTCTATTAAATATTATTAATTTCAGGAGTATACATTCTCTTTAATCCAAGATCTGCAAATGTCTTGAACTATAATTTTAGAAATAAGTTCTTGTCACTTATGCAAAAAACAGGAAAATTTAATTAACTCCTCTTACCACTTGTATATAGGAGATAATTACAGTCAACATTCAGTTTGTTTTATGTACACTTTACCTCCTGACTATTTAAGGTAATAGATTTGAATAATCTTCCTGAATTTCCTAATTAAACTTTTAATTTTTTGAAGTGCATTTTTTAAATCCTTACAAGTTTCCTTTACAGGTATTAACTTTAAAAGAGCCATTCATTCCCTTTGCTACTTAAGAGGTACATTTTCTTGAAGCATTAATAGCCTCTTTTCAAAATACATGACTCTGTGAACTTGCAAAGCATAATAATGGTTTCATTGTTAGATACTGAATCTTTTATGCCTTATAATTAAGCAGTAATCCTGTTCCTTGAGAGTTTTCTTGTAAGAAGAATAGAAATACACTCTTCATTTGAAAGCAGCGAGGCATAGTTGACATTGGAATTCCAATAATGCCTGTAATGAAATGAAGAAAAGTGGGACTGGGTTTGGGTTTCCTATTAAAAGCAGAGAGCACATTAAATAAACCATGTATGATGGCTGATAGCTTTTGATACTGGGATGTCGTGATTCATTAAGGGTGCAGTTTTGAATCAAAGCTTGGTCAGATAGGTTATCTGCTCAAGTGCTGAGTACCATTAAGAATTATACTCAAAACAAAGCATCACTTACATAATTAAATAAAACCAAGGGAATTTTAGCTATACCTGTACGAATAAAGGTAGAATGGTGTTTGTCTAACAAGGCAGAAAATAAATGGTAACTCCAGAAAGAGAATAAAGCACAAAATGAAGTGCTCAACTTAGTTGGACAGAGGCTATATACAGGTTTTGCAGTTGTGGGTATATGAAATACAGAGTTTATTCTTATATTATGATTTATTAATCATTGTATTATGTTCCATATGAACAACTTTAAACCCACCTTTTCCCCATCCTGTTTTTAGTTGAAGGCAGTAAAATCCTTAACAGAAGTTGACCATGGACTTTTCACCAAATTCTAGACAATTCAAAGATAGCCTATTCCCTTGAACCTTAAGAGATTAGGAGATGCCTCTGTTTTAATTTTGTTCATTAGGTTCAACATGTAGGTGAGGTCATATGGTATTTGTCTTTCTCTGACTGGCTTATTTCATGTAGCATCATAATCTCCAGGTCCATCCATGCTGTCACAAAATAAAAACAGAGGCATGGATACATGGAACAGACTCACAGCTGTCAGAGAGGAGGGAGGGAACTGGATGAAAGAAGGCAAAGGGATTAGCTAAAGAATGTATCTTATATGCATAACCCATAGACACAGATTGCAGAGTGGTGATGGCCAGAGGGAAGGAGGGGTGGGGCTAGGTGGAGGTGGGCAAAAGGGGGGAAACAGATGTCGTAGAGCCAACAATAAAAGTGAAGTTAGAGATTAGGAGATGATGCTTTCCCAGGGAGTACTGCAATTACCAAATCTTATTCTAAAACTAGTTTTTTTCTTTTTGGAATCATGGACTTCATTTGGGAATTTGGTGAACTCAGGATTTTCCAAAAATTTGATTTTATTATGTTTAGAGACCTCTGGAGCCTATTTTAGAATTCTAAATGTGGTTTTCAATCATGAGTAATACACAAAACTATTTTAAACAGAAATGAAACCCCCTGTGTTGACATACTGCATTTTATAATCTTAAATATGTACCACATAAAACCTGGTATTAACTTCTTGTACATGTTCTCTTCCATAACTAAAAAACAGATTTATGAATTAAATCATGTTACAAACTTGCAAAATTTAATCTAGCAACATTAATATGACAAAAGTAAATTGAAGTTGTCACTTGCAGTGTGATGATGGTATGGATAATATAGTGGAAGTTTGAGTTCAGAGTGTTGTTAATATATCCCATGTGAATATTCTTATACCGCTTTTCTCTACTTGAACCTACTTCATAACCTCCGTTGTCAAGATGCTGCCATGTAATTTCAAGGTAGAACTAATCCTGCTTCTGTTAGTATCAGCCTGCAACAATTAAAGTTGCCTTGCTGTTGGATACTAACTCAATCACGAACACTGAAATAACACTAAAGTACTACTAGTAAGGTAGCATCCAGAGGATCCAGATTTGGCCTCTTTCGTTGTTATTTTTTAATCCTCACTTAAGGATATGTTTCTATTGATTTGAGGGAGAGAGAGAAATATCATGTGAGAGAGAAACATCTATGGGTTGCTCACCGGGAATCGACCCAACAGCCTTTTAGTGTACAGGACAGTGCTTCATCCAACTGAGCTACCCGGCCATGCGGCCTTTTTTGTTTTTATTATAGATCTTCATGGAAATGAAGGCAGGAAATTTTAAAACAAAACGACCCATTATAAGAACTTTCAGATTTCTAGAAGAAAATTTTTCACATCAACAATGTTATTGAAAGTTGTCTAAGCTGTAAATGTGAGATTGAGATGACTTTGGTTAAATAAATGCAAAATAGCTACATTGACTCTCCATTATCCCAGGTTTTAGAACTATAACAAAAATAAATGAAACAAGGTTTTTTATTATAAGACTCTTAATGGTTCTTTAACAGTTTAGTGTGGAGAAGAAAGATAAGTAAATAAATAATTTTAATATACACTTAGCTGAAATGTTTGAAAACAAATAGTAGCATCCCTGCCTTATACAACTTCTTGTAAATCACAAGATGTTTATGAATTCTATGGTGAAGCATTCTCTAAAGCAGCAGTTGCCAACCGGTGGCCCACGGACTACTGTTGATCCGTGAGGTCCGAAAGTTGGCGACCGCTGCTCTAAAGTGAACGAACGATCCTATTCTTACATACCTGGTCTGTGAGTTTAGATGACTGCTCCAGGTTTGTCTTCATGGGCAGTGCAGCTGTATTCAGCTCTTGGCTGACATGAACACTGTGCTTGGTTTCTTAGTCTGCAGGTAACGAGTGACACAGATTAGTTGGAAATGTTTCAGAAGAAGCTAACTGTATAATGTGAAATATAAGGGATTTTTTTGGCAGGGGATTGTGGCTTTGTCCTAGAAATACTTAAAAGAAATGGTCTTCTGCTATATGAAGGGTAGCTCGCTTAAATGTTAGCATGAGAAACTTGCTACAAGATACTTATTTATACTAACATCTTAAAGAAGTTGTTCAGGCTTTGCTAACTGGATTATGGAGATCTAAAAGTAGGATTTAAATTTTTAATATTACTGTGGAATGATTTTAAGCATAATTTTAGCTGGATGAATGTGAGTTTAATGAACCAAGATATGCTCTGAAGGCTACTTCCAAGCCTGGGATTAGAGGGTCATCAATTTACTAGACTTTGTCATGAACTGATAGACTTTATGAAGAGAAACCACTTTACCAAATGTATGACATATCCACTTCCTAGTTCCTTAAGATAATTATGGAAACAAATGTGTTTCTTATCAACACCTAGGCAAACTCTTCCACATAGACTTTGGATATATCTTGGGTCGGGATCCGAAGCCTCTTCCTCCTCCAATGAAGCTGAATAAAGAGATGGTGGAAGGCATGGGGGGCACGCAGAGGGAGCAGTACCAGGAGTTCCGGAAGCAGTGCTACACGGCTTTCCTCCACCTGCGAAGGTAAGTGGGTTTGCTCGGCAGAGAGAATTTTGGTAAATTCATTTTATAGAGCAAGAAAAGTAGAGTTGTTCAAACATCTACTTCAGAAAGTTCCGTTTTCACTGTTTCCACTTGCCTCCTTCCTTTGCCTACTCTAGTAAGGCTGCTAGTCTTACTCGGCTGTTGAAACTAATTTCATCAAGATATACAGGTGTATCTATTGCCATTTTTGCTCCTCGCATCTTTGGTATAGCTGACCATGTCTCTGTTTCTAAAAACCTTTCTTATATTTGGTGTAGCCCTCTCTCCTGTTTTCTTTGTTCCTTACTGGTCACTTCTTCTTTGCTGGTTCCTGTCCTCTTCTGTCTACCTCTACACAATGAATGTCTACAGTTTTCATTATCAGTCTATGGGTTCTGATCTTTTTTCCCTTAACTCTCTCCATAAGCATTTAATCCAGACTTGTAACTTTAAATGGGATCCAAATGCTGATGACATCAAACTAATCCCATCAGCCCTGATAGCTCCTCTGAGGTATACCTAACTGCCTACTTGATATCTTTGCTGAGAATTTAGGAGGCATCTCAAACTCAGTATGTCTAAAATGGAATTCTTGATTCCCTGCCCTAAATCCTGTTCTTCATTCATTATTATTTTGATGGGTAACCACGCATTCCCATTTCTTAGGCTAAATCCTCGGTGAGATTCAGTCCCTGTTTTCTCTCTCCACCTCCACTTGTGTGTCACCCACTCCATCCCCAGAATATAGCTCCATCACTTCCATATTGTTTCTCTTACCCTGGAGTCTGTGAAAGTTCCCCTGCCTCCATTGTTATTCCCCACAAGGTGGCCAATGTGAGCTTTCAGAAATGCAAATCTGAGTGTGCTGTTCCACTCTTTAAACTCAGTGGCTTCTCAGTGCATTTAAAATAAAATCATACTTCCTTAAGGTGACTCCCCACCCCTCAATCTCTGACCGTTTTTCTGTTTTACTTTATTTTTTAAATCTTGTTTCAGTCACCCAGGTATGACATTATTTTCTTAAACAGCTTATTGTATGAGCTCCCAACCTCTTCCAGAATGTGAGCTTCGTGAATGTAGGAGCCTTGATTGTTCAGTTCACCACTATGTCCTTAGTGTCTAGAGCAGTGCATAGAGTGAGTGTTCGGTAAATATTTGTTGGCTGAATGAATAAAATTATTTGAGTAGAAGTAAAGTGACATCTGTGATATGCTTTTTATCAGTTCTCACAAGAAACCAGTAACTTCAAGCTAAGTTAAAACTGTTTTGATATCATCTTACTTTTTTTTTTTTCCCAAAGAGAATCAGTGAGTTAGGGCCTAATTTGATGAGAGGATTATATCAAGGTAGAAATTTTCATTATAGTCCCTCTTGGCTTTCATGGGCAATATAAAATATTTATATTAGGTAATTTGAGGTTTATGTGTATAGTCATTTTTGTCTTTAGTTCCATTATCATCACAGTTCCAGCAGTAAATGGTTTTTATGTCACAGGTTGAGCTTTTTCACACTATGGATAGGCAGATGGCTGAAATGAGGATTCTGCACCTCCTGCATCCTGGCCTCCATGCCCTAGAAAGGACAGTGCAGGGCACCTGTGTTGGCCCTTCTTCTGAAACCAAAGTTGTCTTACTCACACCCACCTCCAAAGTCTAACCTGAACCTCCTTTCATCACTAGAGTGCTGAGGGGCCACTGAGAGCATGGCTGTTCCAGGAGGGGGTCTGGGCAGGAGGTGGATTGTGCTTCTGTGCACCCATGTACTCCGTCCCCCGGGCTCCACCTCTGGCTGAGCATGTGGAATAGTAGCACTCCTCTTTGTTTGGAGTAAGCTGAAAGTTTGAGGATTGGTGAGGATAAACCTGTAGTTCCTGTTGGGGTCAGCATAATCCAAAGATGATGATATTTAAGTATCTTGCTCATTTTTAATACTGTAGAGTACTAGCTGTTTTCTCCTTCATTTAGCATTGCTTCTATTCAGCCCAGGCACTGGTTTCTAAAGGGGTGATTCATGTCTCTGGAGGGTACTCCTGAATGGTTAGTGGGATGGCAGTGTTTCCCTTTCATGCATTTACCCCTGGCACTGAGGTGGTCTTAGAGTGGCAGATCCTTGTCGTTATTTAGCAAAGGCAGATATTCATTGCTTAGCCAAATGATAATTAGGTATAAAAGGGATTCTCTTACACCCCATTAAAAAGAATGTATTCCCTGAAAACTGAAGAAAAAAAAGTGATTATTTGGTGATTACTCCAAAAGTTTGTTCCATAGTGTAGGACCTAGAAATGGTATTATATTAAGCCCCTAGAGTAAGATACTTTTTCGAGGCTTGCTTTCATTGAGACAGCTGGTGAATAGTCTCACATTCCATTTTCCTTCGGGGTAACAGTAATTGTTATAGAGATTCAGGTACCACTATTTCTAGGAGTGTTTTTGATATGAGAAGAACTGCAAAATTCTAACGAATTGTTATTTTTTCCCCAATCACCCTTAGGTATTCTAATCTAATTTTGAACTTATTTTCCTTGATGGTGGATGCAAACATTCCAGATATTGCTCTTGAACCAGATAAAACTGTGAAAAAGGTAATTTCTATATATCCTCGAACATCACAGTCTACTTTTCATATATGAAAGATTTAACAACCCATTTCCCCTTGTTTTTTCGGCCCCAGTATAGCTTTTTTAACTTGAATTGTAAACTTTCTAAAGGGCACCAACAGTGTCAGAGATGAAATTTCTCTGGTTGTGGAAAAGAGTAATTGGCATCAAAAACCCTGAGTTCTGACATAACTGGTCCTTTCTTCCTCTCTTTCTAAAACCAATCAATCAATAAAAACATTTTTTAAAAGAGCATATAGCAAAAGCAGTAAACTTGCACACTCAAATGAGCAGTTTTCAGAACTTATAAGTCATGAATTATTTCTTTGGCGTAGAAATAACTCATACTGTAGTGTAATGTCTACATCCGTTTAATTCTATGTCTTTGAAATATGCCTGGTTCTCTTTGTTCAGAAGACTAACAGACTGTGGCCTTGTAGGTTCAGGATAAATTCCGCCTGGACCTGTCAGACGAGGAGGCGGTGCATTACATGCAGAGTCTGATTGACGAGAGTGTCCACGCCCTGTTTGCTGCAGTGGTGGAGCAGATTCACAAGTTTGCCCAGGTCAGTTCCCTGAGGGAAGCATATTTTCCCACTTCTCCACCTGCTGCCCAGAGTCCTCATGGAGCCACACTCCTCATGCCAGCTCCTGACTCTTCTGGGATGTTTTGGGGGGTGAAGCCTTTTTTGCTATCTCACCGGCCATCTGACGTGAACATGTTTCATGCACAGTTAACTCTCAAACATTCCACTTACATTTTCTTAGTGGAATGTCAACTTGGGTGTCTTCGTCCTTTGTGATCAGTGATGATTATAAGCCCTTCTTGCAAATGACTTTGGGTTTAGTGGAGGCCATGCCAACTGAGACTTAACGCGTGTTAAGTTTTGATGCATGGTGAAGTTTTAGGGAAGGATTTCGAGGCTGAGAAAAGCAATGCATACCACACACTGAAAAGGTGTATCTGTAGACTTGCTATTAACAATATATTTCATACAAATGTCTGATGAGGGAAGACCTTTCCACACTAGCTGATGATGATATACCTCAGATTTAAAACCCGTTTAAGTTATGGATTTCATAATGATGATTAGGAAAATGGTTAGCAAACAGAAAAATTAGGCCTCTTTCCTCTCCACCCTCACATGCCTCTCCTTGTGAACTCCCTCCTGACTTCTTAACACAGTTACTAATACTTCTAATTTCCTAAGCTCAAAGTCGGTCTGCTTGGACTTCCCCCTCACCCAGTGTCCACTGTGTCATCAAAGCCTATTCGGGTCTTTAATTAATTTTCCTTTTCTGTAATTTCTGAGATGAAAGAGAGAGAGAGAGGGAGAGAGAAACATCAGTGATGAGAGAGTCATTGATTGGCTGCCTCCTGCACGCTTGCCGCCCCCCCCAAGGAGGGATTGAGCCCACAACCAGGGCATGTTTCCTGACCAGGAATTAAACCATGACCTCCTGGTTCATAGGTCGACCCCCCAACCACCGAGCCATGCTACAGAAGACTGTTTTTTAAAGGACTAGAATAAGCTAAGGGTTTGGTTTTCTCTGTGAAAAGTATGTGTTTATCTTTTTCTAAGCATCTAATAAATCTAGAGGCCCGGTGCACAAAAATTTGTGCACTCGGGGGGGTCCCTCAGCTGGGCCTGTGCCCTCTCGCAGTCTGGGACCCCTTGGGAGATGTCCACCTGCTGGCTTAGGCTCGCTCCCCGGGGGATCAGGCCTAAGCTGGCAGTCAGACATCCCTCTGGGAGCCCAGGAGCCCTCAGGGGATGTCCACTTGCCAGCGGGGACCAGGCCTAAGCTGCAGTCGGACATCCTTAGCGCTGCTGAGGAGGCAGGAGAGGCTCCCACCACCACTGCTGTGCTGGCAGCCGTCAGCCTGGCTTGTGGCTGAGCAGAGCTCCCCCTGTGGGTGCGCACTGACCACCAGGGGGCAGCTCCTGCATTGAGCGTCTGCCCCCTGGTGGTCACTGTGTGTCATAATGACCAGTCATTCCCAGTTGTTATGCTGTTAGGGTCAGTTTGCATATTACCCTTTTATTATATGCCTGGTGCATGCGTGGGGGCTGGCTGGTTTGCCCTGAAGGGTGAACCGGATCAGGATGGGGGTCCCACTGGGGTGCCTGGCCAGCCTGGGAGAGGGTCTGAGGGCTGTTTTCAGGTTGGCCACACCTCCTTCAGGGTGGAGGGTCCTGCTGGGGTGCCTGGCCAGCCTGGGTGAGGGGCTGAAGGCTGTTTGCAGGCTGATCACGGCCCCCAGCCACCCAAGCTCCCAGTGGAGGCTGGCTGGAAGCAGGTATCTGGGATTTACTTATCTTCTATAATTGAAACTTTGTTTCCTTTAGCGGAGGCCACAGCCGGCCAGGGCAGGTGGGAAGCTTGGCTTCCTCCATCGCCGGAGCAACCAAGCCTCCTGCTTGCTCCAGCTCCGTGGCTGCTGGCCACCATCTTGGTTGGGTTAATTTGCATATAGTCACTGATTGGCTGGTGGGCGTGGCTTGGGGCATAGCAAAGTTATGGTCAATTTGCATGTTTCTCTTTTATTAGATTAGATAACTATTGTTTATTTTTCTTTGTGAACATTGAATCTAATTATGTTCTCTTTGTTTCTTTATGTTGTTAATTTTTATAGTACTGGAGAAAATGAAACTGGGTTTGGTCCCCCAAGAAGCAACCTGTGTATAATGAAGACTTCAGAGTAACAAGCAAGCAAGAATGTTTAATCTTCCAGATACCATATATCCTAAATGTTACATGGTGTCTGAATCCCTTGGATGTCAGTGCTTAAATATGTTCTTGAAGGGTTTTGTTTTAAAATATTGTATATATTTATTTTCAAATATACACATTATTAATAACCTAGGACATGAGAAGCTAATTCTAGGCTCATGTACATATGAGAGTTTGGGAGAAATTTTATGCTCTGAAACTAGAGGCCCGGTGCATGACATCCGTGCACTGGATGGGGAGGGGGTCCCTCAGCCCAGCCTGCGCCCTCTCACAGTCTGGGACCCCTTGCTTCTTACCGCCCACTTGCAGCCAGCAGAGGCGGGAGAGGCTTCTGCCACCGCCGCTACGCTCACTAGCCATGAGCCAGCTGAGCGGCACTCCCCCTGTGGGAGTGCACTGACCACCAGGGGACAGCTCCTGCATTGAACGTCTGCCCCCTTGTGGTCAGTACACATCATAGCGACCGGTCATTCTGCCTTTTGGTCGATTTGCATATTAGCCTTTCATTATATAGGACTAGTGGCCCAGTGCATGAAATTCATGCACATTGAAAAGGAATTAATTAGAGGAAATATTTTAATATTGCTATATGACTATAATAGAAGTGTCAGAGATGAAAGAAAATTAGTAAAATGTATATGAAAATAATATATAAATTTATTTATAAATAAACAGTAACAAAAAGACATGATATAAAAACAACAAAAACATGATATGAAAACAACAAAAACAGGCCCGGTAGGAAGGGCCTCCCTCTGCTCTGCAATTGATCCCAGAGTCCCAACAGGGTGGGCAGGGCCTCCCTGTGGGTGGGGATCAATGGCAGTCCCCAGCCCGGTGGGAAGGGCCTCCCTCTGCTCTGTGATTGATCCCAGAGTCCCAGCAGGGTGGGCAGGGCTTCCCTGTGGGCGGGGATCAATGGTGGAGCCCAGGCCTGGTGGGAAGGGCTTCCCTCTCCTCCGCAACTGATCCCAGAGTCCCAGCAGGATGGGCAGGGCCTCCCTCTGTGCAGCATGGATCACAGAGCCTGGGAAGGTTGGGTGGGGCCTCCTCCTGTGCTGGCTGCCATCAATCGCAGAGCCCGGCAGGGTGAGCAGGGCCTCCCTCTGTGGGTCATCGATCTGGGGTCCCCGTGATCCATCACCCTACAGAGGGAGTCCAAGGCCACCGGCCAGTGACACTGTGGTGGGTGGACGGGGCCTGCCAGCTATCTCAGAGCAGAGGGAGGCCCTTACCCTCACCTGGAATCGCTGCCCACAGGGAGGCCCTGCCCACCCTTCTGGGGCTCTGGGATCAATCGCAGAGCAGAGGGAGGCCCTTACCACCAGGCCGGGGCTCTGCCATTAATCGCTGCCCACAGGGAGGCCCTGCCTGCCCTGCCCACCTGGCCGGGGCTCTGTGATGGGCCCTCCCAGCCGTGGCGGTCTGCCTCGGCCCTCGCAGCTGCAGCTTTGTCCGAAAAAACGTCCGGAAGACGTCTGGTCTATCTGGTCTAATTAGCATATTACCCTTTTATTAGTATAGATAGTAAAACACTATAGTCTTTGAGTTTGAAATATCCTTTTTTTCCGTTATCACATCAGGAGAGCAGTTATATGAATTTGGATGAATTGTCTCAGTTTAGAAGTTTTTTGTTTTGTTCATCTCTCCCTTCCCTTCTGTCTACAGTATTTGTTTTTGCCTAATTTACAATACTTAAAGATTTACATGTTATAGCTCATTCTTTTACAGTTTATTTTAAATAAGACATTCATTTTCTCTTATAAATACTGGTTTTGGGTTGTTGTTGTTTTTTAAACTATAGTTCCCATTTCTCCTAGGTTGTAAATACTTAAAGTAGGATATGAAAATGTAGCCAAAAGGTAACCCGCAGCAGCCTTCAGTATGGAGCCCAAGGTATTTTTACATTTATGTTTAAGCATAAACTGTCTTTCTGAAGTAAATCTTTTTTGAATTAGCTTAGTTTTTAAATGACTTTTGAAATAGCTCCCTTGGAACTATTAATATATCTTCTCTGACTTTAACCAAGTGATTTTTTTTTGTCTTTTAAGACTAGAAGTCCCACTAATCCATCTAGCTTTTTTGCCTCAGGCAACTTTGAGAAAAAGGAATAAACAAAAACTGAGAAGAGCAATGCAATAATAATCCTTGCAAATTAACGTGTTGCATAGTCTTGTGACTTTGTTTTGAAAGGAAAAGAATAGTTGATTCTCTTGGTGCTAAATAAATATTAAATATCAAGTGACAGAGGAGATTAAGAAGGTTTACTTAAGTCACCGTTTCAGAAAATGCCATTAATTATAATGTTTATTTGTCCCTAAATTCTCATCTGTGAGTTTGTCTCTAGAGTGGAGTTACCACCTAGAAAGGAAGCATGTAATTAGGAGACATCCTAGAGGCACTTGGACTGTGATTTCTATAAAGTACACGTGCAGATTAGAGAATTGGTAAAGATGAAAAGTCCTTGGCATAGCTTCATATGAGAGTTTATGCCCAAACTAATAGGCAAGCTCCATCCTCTCCCTTGCCTTTTCCTTGCTTTACATATTTAAATCATTTTTGTTGCCTACAAGCTTTTAACTTATCTCTATTCTTGTTTTAGTTCTATTTCTATTGGCATCTCCTCCAAAGTTTTCTCAAAACAACCCTGTTGAAAGTGACCTCTCCAACCTTCTGAATTCTTGTAATTCTTTAATTATAGCTTTTTCATTGGCACTTAGTAAAGTGGGGTGTTTTTGTTACATTTGCATCTCCTGTAGAGGAGATAAGTGAGGGGACAGAGGAAAGAGGATGTTGGGTAAAGGGATGATTTTTTCTTTTAACATACACAATAATAGAGCCATAAGATGATGGTGATGAGTCAAAAGAAGGAAGATTAATACTGCAAAGGGGTCTGTAACTAAAGGAATGAAACCTCCCAGGTGAGAAGGCATACCATCTCTGAGACAATCAGAATTTTGATGAGAAGATGAGTTCTGGATCACCATGCATCCACCTTCTCTCCTGTAGACCTTTCCTTTACTGCCTGGCTAATACCGTTTCTGACCCTTCCACCAGGGAGATAAGGAGGGAGGAGAGTAAGGGGCCTAGAAAGTCATTACCTGAAAAGCACTGCCCTGACATAGCTGTGATGTTCTGGTCCACTAGTGTTTGAGGCTGTTTCTGGAGCGTGCATAGTTCTAGCCCAGCTCTCTCTCATGTGTTGGCCACCTCTAGTCCATGAAAAATTCTTAAGCATTTTTTTTTTGCCTCACCAAAACAGTGACTCGTCTTACTCTTCCTCCAAAGTCATGCACGGACTACCTCTTGTCCTCCGAGTTTCCTAGACTGGAGCGAGACACCAGTCCCCCTGAGCACTCTCCTTATGCAAGGACCCAGCGAGGCGTTACTTGTTGTCTCATCCCCTTAAAACTTAGTTCCAGGCCTGGATTAGGAGAAGCTGGACCACAGGAGAAGCTGACTGAGAAACACAGCTGGGCTCAGAATCTCTTCATCCCTCCAATCCTGAGTAAATGTCCTTGAACTAAGGACATTTCTTCTCTCCCCTTTTCCTTTGACTGTGGTTCCCCTGAGTAAGCCACTCCAGAGACCCACTAGACACGTAAGATGAGGATAATAATAGTCCCTACCTCATAGTGTCGTGTGAAGGTTAAATGAGTTAATGCACGTAGAGCACTTACAACAGATCCTGGCACGTAGTAATTGCCATGTAAGTATCAGCTATTATCGTAATTACTGTGCCACTCAGATGAACCCTCTGGTTCATCCCTCTGGTTCAGTGGGCTTGAGGCAGAGGGGTGGAGGTGGAGGTGGGAGGAACAAAGAACATCAGTCTTGAACAGGAGACTTGGGACTGTAGTGGGCGACTTGAGTACTTTAGCTTTATTAACTGGACAGGAGGTAGCTAATTAAAAACAGCATTATTGAAATTTCTTTGAGCGAGGCTTCATGAAGACGAAATGCTGAATTGTCAGAGTGGAATATTCAAATTATACGTTCGCTGGATTTAAAGAAGCATTGAAGCCTGGTTCAATATATACAGTAATTAATCTTCCATTCAGTGAACTCGGAAAAATTTTTAAATCTTGGTCAATGCCTCAAACAGTGTCTAAGTGACTTGACTGAAGCCCAGTAGGAATGAACATGCCAACCCGTTAGCCCAGGGCAGTCGGTGTCTGCCTGTCAGCAGTTGGATTTGCCCAGGTCAGGCACTGAATTGCTATACACAGGTGCCTTAGGCTACTGAAAGGTGAGTGTGCATACCCAGCCCAGGTAATGCCTGGCAGTGAGGCCTCAACCCGTGCCACTGAATGTAGGACTCACCTGCATACCTTCACCCATTCAGCAAAAGTTCTACCGTGTTTTAGGGTTCCCATCTTTTCCAACTTTATAAAATGAGCACATTCTTGACAATCTCATAAAAGACCCCTCCAACCTAAACAAAGAAGCCCTGTGTTCAGTGTTTACCTGGTTTGAGTGTTCTTTCTACTCATTTCATGCCTGGGTTTCCCTCGGCTCCTGCTGGCTTCCTGTCCCAGAGCCTCACAGGCCAGTTCCTCCTTTACATGCTCCTCCAGACCCTGCTGGCTGGGCCTCCTCTCTCCCAATGGCTGCATGTAAAACACGGATGTTCTGCACATTTTCATTTAGCCTCATCGATTCCATCGATGTCTTGTCAGATATGCTGGAGCCCAAGGCCTCATCAGCCACACAAGACATCAGAGATGGGCCCTCTGGTCTTTTGACTCTGATTATTCTTTATTTTTATTCTGATTCTCTCGAGGCAAAGAATTATGTGGGGGAGGAGAGGAGGAAGGAGACAGGAGGGAGCTAGAGGTCAGTGCTCACAAAAACAAAAGAACTGCAAATTGGGACCTCTCTCCACAGGCTCCTTCCTTTCAGAAAGTCAGTGCAAAACCATCATCTCCCAGGGACTTCTAACTCAGGGCTGGCCCGTCCAAGGGAGACCTGCCCGGGCAGTCACTTGTCAGATCAATCCTAGGGCCACCTTTGTGCAGACATCCTGCCTTCTCTACATGGGCCCTCCCACTGCCTTCAGGGATTTTACATCTCAATTATTTATTAAAGAGACAAAAAGGAATGGTGGATGGAGCCCTTGGGGAAAGCAGGAG